ATATCAAGAACATTATCTATGAAGAAAGCAAAAGGTCATTAAAAAGACAGGAAAGGAAGAAAAGACCAAAATAGATGTCAGAAGAGACTCTGAAACTTGCCCTTGAGCGGAGAGTAGCTAAAGCAAATGGAAGAAATGACAAGATAAAAGAGCTGAATAGAAGATTTCAAAGAGCACTTCGAGCAGACAAAGCCAATGATTATAACAAAATGTGCAAAGACCTGGAGTTAGAAAACCAAAGGGAAGAACATGCTTGGCATTTCTCAAGCTGAAGAAGAACTGAAGAAAAAAAATCAATCCTCGAGTTGCAATATTGAAAGATTCTATGGGCAATATATTGAATGATGCAGGAAACATCAAAAGAAAATGGAAGGAATACACAGAGTCACTGTACCAAAAAGAATTGGTTGATGTTCATCCACTTCAGGAGATGACATATGATCAAGAACCAATGGTATTGAAGGAAGAAGTCAAAGTTGCACTGAAGGAAGTGGCGAAGAACAAGGCTCTAGGAATTGACGGAATATCCATTGATATGTCTCAACAAATGGCTGCCGCGCTGGAGGCACTCATTCAGCTATGCCCAGAGATTTGGGAGATAGCTACATGGCCAACTGACTATAAGAGAGCCATATGTGTACCTATTCCAAAGAAAGGTGATCCCACAGAATGTGGAAATTATCAAACAATGTCATTGATATCACATGCAAGTAAAATCTTACTAAAGATAATTCAAAAATGGCTGCAGCAGTAATTTGACAAAGAACTTCCAGAAATGCAAGCTGGATTCAGAAGAGGACGTGGAATGAGGGATATCATTGCTGATGTCAGATGGATCTTGGCTCAAAGCAAAGAATACCAGAAAGATGTTTACTTATGTTTTATTTACTATGCAAAAACATTCGATTGTGTGGATCATAAAACATTATGGATAGCATTGGGAAGAATGGGAATTCTAGAACACTTGATTGTACTCATGAGGAACCTGTACATAGATCAGGAGGCTGTTGTTCGAATAGAACAAGGGGACACTGCATGGTTTAAAATCAGGAAGGAAGTGTGTCAGGGTTGTATCCTTTCACCATACTTATTCAATCTGCATGCTGAGCAAGTAATCAGGGAAGCTGGATTATATGAGGAAGAACGTGACATCAGGATTGGAGGAAAACTCATTAACAACATGTGACACACACATGACACAACTTTGCTTGCTGAAAGTGAGGATGACTTGAAGCACTTACTGATTAAAGACTACCGTCTGCAGTATGGAATTCACTTCAATATACAGAAAACAAAAATCCTCACAACTGAACCAATAAGCAGCATTCTGATAAATGGAGAAAACACTGAACTTTTCAAAGACTTCATATTACTTGGTTCTACAATCAAAAACAATGGAAGCAGTAGTCAAGACATCAGAAGATGTATTGCATTGGGCAAACCTGCTGCAAATGACCTCTTTAAAGTGCTGAAGAGCAACGATGTCTCCTTGAAAACTAAGGTGCACCTAACCCAAGCCATGGTATTTTCAACTGTCTCTTATGCATTGGAGAGCTGGACAATGAATAAGGAAGACCAAAGAGTTGATGCTTTTGAGTTGTGGTATTGGTGATTATACTGAGAGTACCATTGACTTCTAAAAGAACTAACAAATCTGTCCTGGAAGAAGTGCAGCTGGAAAGCTCCTTGGGAGCGAGAATGGCCAGACTTTGTCTCACCTACTTTGGTCATTTGTCAGAGGGAACTATTCACTGGAGGATGTCATGCTTGGTAAAATGTAGGCTCAATGAAAAAGGAGAAGACCTTCAACAAGATGGATGGATACAATGGCTGCAGCGATGGGTGTAGCGAGGATCGTGAGGCTGGCACAGGACTGCAGTGTCTTGTTCTGTCGTGTGCAAGGTTGCTGTGGGTTATAGATGACTCGAAAGCACCTAACAACAACATACTTTTCTGGTTGTCAATTTCCTGTGGTATGTATATAAAACTCAAGAAACTCACTGCCATCGAGTCAGATCCAACTCATAGTGACCCCTCCTTGGGTTTCCAAAGAGGTGTCACTACCGAAGTAGATTGCCCAACCTTCATTCCAAGGAGTGGCTAGTGGGCTTGGACTGCCAGCCTTCTGGCAAGCAGTCAAATGCCTTAGGCACTATGACACCAGAGTACCTACTGATATGCATATAGTGATTTTAAATCAGGAAGAAAACCTGAAATCTAAAGAAAACTCTATACATTGAAAAAGCAGTACATTATCTGTGTTCTCAATATGCTGAGCCTAAAAAATAAACACATTTTACTCATATAAACTTTAGGGTTTTTCTGAGCATAAAAGGCATCAGTTTAGACCAACAAGCCATACTACTGAGGGCCATAACAAACATAAACTTGCTGGTTCCTGAAGAAAACAGTGGGCTTAGGGAGGCGCTTACACAGTGAATTCAAACCAAAAGCTGTGGTTACCGCATGACACCACCAGGTGCCGCTATTGCTTCAGAGAAAGGAGTGGAATGTGTAGCAGGAATTTGCTTTATGAGGAATAGATTCCTGCTCTCACCCGCTCCTGGATAATAACAAAGTCTTCTCGGAAGGCATAACAATCATATCAATGCTCATATCCAAAAAGGTCAACGAGACAAGATGTGAAAGCAGCGTTCCTGTCATTTCCCACAGATGAACTGAGGGGGCGGGGACTGGGAACAGAGAACACATGGTAGCAAGGAATAGGTTCAGGCCATGACAGCTGATTTGACTTGATGTTCTGAAATACCCCGCTAATAACAGGATTTGAATGCCAGCTATGCCACACTGTTTCTGGAGAAAATATATTCCTCCTTCGAACTCTGAACGGCTGGGTGCATATTCTCTACTTTCAACTGTGAGGTCTTGACAAGAATTTAGCTTTTCCTTCTATAAAACAGTAATAGCAACTTCACTGAGTTTTAAAGATTAAGTAAGATCATGTATGTGAACTGTGTCAGCCAATTTATTACCTGGCTCTGTGGGAGTAAGAGCTCCCAGCATCCTTGGCTGTTGAGGCCACATCTAGATAAGATAGGGAATCTCCACATCAGTGGTGAGAAGCTACCGGCCTCGGTGTCTCAGGACTTGGCTCTTTTGACTCATGTCTAATCCGGAGTCTGCCATCTGGTCTGTGACAGGTCACTTTGCCCACTGGAGCCTCAGGTTTCTCGTCTTTGAAAGGAGGGGATTGGGCCAAATGACTCAAATCCTGCCAGGCAAAACCCTACGGCTCTATGAAACCTGAACCACAGAAGATACCAGTCTATTTCTGCATAATACACTTTCCTGACACAACACTGTGTAGGTATTGGAGCCTGAGAGGACAAGGGGTTGCAGCACCCATGGGTGCTGTCACCCAATCACCTAGCATTCATTGAGATCCTTTGAGGAAACAGACATGGTGCCAGCGTCTGGGGACATAATTGGAAAGGACTCTTCCTTTGAGTTTACAGTCAGACAGGGGAACACACAGATCGGCGATCTCACGTGACAGGAAGGGCATGGGCAGAGGGTGTCTATGGAGGGGTGGTGACCACGCTGAGCTCACGGCTGACCTCCACCATGCTGCCAGCCAGCAAGTCTCCCAGAACACAGAGTAACTCCCAGGGTCTTCTGTGACTTGCCTGGAGCTGTTTCTGAGATAAGCCGCTTTCTGGGTCACCCCTCTGTGACTGTATCAGCTTGTGCCTCAGGAAGACCTAGGTGAGATGCTCTTGGAAGCACACACTCCCGGGTTACATAACCTCTATGGAAGTGAGAAGCAAATGGCCCAAAGTACAGCAGACAGGGGACAGGTTAGCGTCTGGCTGAGCTAAACCAGAAGAGTCTCTGGCCACCGAGCCAGGGGTTCACGCTCTAAATTCCCCTCTTTCTCAGTGTGCTTCACTGGCCTTCCTTTCTCCACAAAATGCTACGCTCAGCGTTTCTAACTCTTTCCCAACTGGGTCAGCAACCCTCAATCTCTGCTGCCTCTGAGCTCTGGCCAGCATGCCTTTATTGAGCTGAGGCTCCCAAAGCAGGGCATGCACGTTGGGGCCTGGGAAGCAATGCAAGAACAAACACCAGCCTCGGCCACCTGGCGCTTTCAAAGGCTACCGAGTCCCCATCTGCTTACCAGACTCTCGGTAGTAAGCTCCGGCAAATCCTGGATGGTACAGCAGGGGTAATCCAGGACCGGGATGCTGCAGGCACAGAGAGAAGGACAGGCTTTAGGGAAACGGCGTTGGCAGGGAACAGCTCTATCTGCAAAGGGCAGGAGCCGCTCCTCCAGCAGCGCCTAGTTGCAGTGACTTCAGCTAAAGCCGAAGGTTCTGGTGGTAGGCCGCTCCATCTGGTCCCCTCTCCTCACAGTCATGGGAGGACCCCACAGGCTGGCCCTTGTCTGGCAGATGCAGAAAAGTTACAGCTGGAAGAGTCTCTGTGTAGCCACCTTCCTCCCTTATTTAAAGGACAAGGCACACTTGTGTGCACTTGTTTCTGCATAAAATGCGTGTGCATGCATAACCGTGCACCCAGAGATGCTGCCCAAACCCATCCCCCTGGCTAACAATCCGAGAACATGAGGATGAAAGCAAGGCTCTTTTTGAAACCCAGGAGCTCTGGGCATGATCACAGAAGCCACTCTGAAAGGGAAATGGGAGACAGGACAGCTTCCTGCAGTGGAGGCAATCTAGAAGAGCCCCAGAAGCTGATAGCTGCCAGCCCCAGAAACACAGTGGGCTGCGTGGGAGCGGGCACGGTACAGTGGGCTTGGGACATAGGCATGAGTTGGGAGTGGGGAGGAAGAGGGCACCACATGGTGACAGATAAAGAGTTTTCTCTTCTTCCTCCTCCTCCTCACTGGAACAACACACAATCTGGACTAGAGAGTCCCTCATGCTCCTTCTGGTTCCGATGTTCTGTACAGTAAAACACCAATCCATCTCAACTAGTGCATTTGGGACTAGATAAGGAGGCTGGCAAAACAGGGCTTAGAAGGAGGGGTGTGGGGCTCTGTGACCTGCCTCTACATTTTGCAAGTCAAAAATTGTACCCAAGCAAAAAGCAGCAACTTATTTTACCAGTAAAGTTGGACTTTTCTTGGCTTTGCCCAAGAAACCCAGATAAGAGATGCCTGGGGGAACCAGGGTGGGAGGGGAGCAGAGGCAAGTGGGTCCACGTGTAACGTTTTGTCCTCGATTTACTCTGTGGACTCTCCTGGGCTGCCAGTTCTGTGCTGCCCCACAAGAACGTTCTTGGTGGAGTTATCCACCCTTCTACCCACTGCCCACTGCCCAGTCCTCATGGCAAAGTAGGAGCTGGGGGTTAGGAAACGGAGGTGAGAAAATAAAGATGGATTAGGTCCAATCCCTCAATGAATTAAATTCTAGCCAAAGGGGACATAAATCTATGAATATCTAGGATATCTAGACCGTAAGAGATACAACAGAACTGTGCAAAAAACACCTGGGGTGGGGGGCAAGTTCAGGGATCACTCAAAAGTAAAAAAATCGGCAGGTGGTGAAAACAGCACCCCCTTGTCTGGGCCAGTATTAGCAAAACCCAGGTTTGTCCCTACTATTCTTCCAATTCCAAACCAGATCTGATGGACACCTAGGGGCTGGGCTAGGCCTTCCTGCTCCAGGGCTCTGGGCAGTGGCAGCACTCAGCTCCATTCTCCCCGCTACCCCAGCCGACTGGCCCAGGGCTGGACTTCTAACCCCAGTCAGGGACAGGCTCTGATTGGGAGCCAATCCAGTCTGGGGGTGGTGGCACCGTGCCATTTAGCTCACAAGGTGAAATTTCACCATGTGGCCCAAGGAGCAGACAGCTATTTGTCTGTGACAGGTACAGAGGCTTGGTGTCCAGAGATGGAGGTGGTGGGCTTCTGGGCTCCCCACACCACAGACCAGCTGTGAGGCCCAGAGCCGCATCCCTGAATTAGGTTCCTTGTGATTACATACCCTCGGCTTCTTTCTAACAAGTCCCCCATTTTCTGTGAGCCAGATTGAGCTGGTTCTGCTTACTGACAGCTAAGAGAGTAGACTGATACACACTGGGGTCCTCATGTAGCTGTAACCCTCACCCAGCCTGACCTACACTTTCATACTCCCTGGTAACCTAGCTGGCGTGTCTCACATGCTATTTATAAGGGGCCTGGAGCACAGGTCTATGTGGTTAGAGAAAAACCTATTCTCCAATGCTTCTTCCTCCAAACAAGTGTTTAAAGCTCTCGCACACACATTTGTCTTATTTAATGCTTATAAAAGCTCCATGATGTGGTCAGAGGTTTCATTACTTCCATTTTAAAGATGAAAATACTGAGGGGTTCAGAAGAATGAAGTGTATTGCTTGAGATCACACAGCTACCAAATGGCAGATCCAGGTCTCATGACTTCAGGTTCCGGGTTGCATGGTGGTGTTTTTTTAAACTATATATATGTAGGCTGCCTCTGCAGGGGTACTATCTGACAAGTACTGACAGTCTGGTTAATGACATCTTCCATCCCATCTCCAGTCACCCCAAGTACGAGATTAGCCCTCTTGCTTCTATTCTGGGGACTTTGCCTCTAGCAAATTCTGCCGATTCAACGTGCTTCTAGTTCTCCTGGAAGCAATGGGGCTCTGCTCTGCAGCTCCCAAGCCCCTCCTGGCTGGAAGAGGGCGAGGCAACTGACATCCTGGAGAAGCCAGTGCCTTGATCCGGCCTCTGCTCCTCACTCAAGAAGTCTCAACACGTGATCTTGAGGAGTCAATCAACTTCCCTGAATTTGTTTCCTATTTGCTAAAATAAGCATAAAACTTGTATTTCCTCTGGACACTGTTGAGAAGATTAAATAAAACAATGGAAGTAAAAATACTATATTTTTTTAAAATAACAGTGAGGTCTATTATCTACCTTTAGTTTCAAATTTTGTCTAACACTTCAGTGACTCGACACCAAGACCGGAGCTGGCCACAAATGCAGGCTGGCTCGCAGATAATGGTCTCCTGGTTCTTCCTGCCACAAGGCTGCCCTTACACCACTGCAGCCCCCTTTCTTTGAATCATGACACTTCAGTGTTCAAAGATATTAAAATACAAATACCCCCGGGAAGAGGCCAAACCATACACCCCGCCAGCTAGCACTTCAAGGAAATCAAATTTAACAGTAGCCGCTCTCCGACAGGAGGGCTGGGGATAGCAGGAGAACTGAAAGGCACAGAGACGGTGTAATTTTCTCAACCACCCAGAAAAGCCCCTCGAAACGAACGTGTTCAGAGCCCTCACCTGTTTTTGGCAGTGATGTAGGACAAGATATTTTGATTGAAGAACTTCAGGATCAAGGGGATACAGTTGGCAAACACCAAATGCTGTGCCACATATTCAAACTGAATGAAAAGATCAAAGCAGGAGGGGTAAGTCTTATTTGCAGGACGAGAGGAGGGGATGTGTGAAAAAAGAGAGGCGCAGACGACTCTGGTGTTTCCTGAGAAGGCCCACTGCCCACTTGTGCTGTCAGTCTTCCTATCTGAGCCGTGGGGGGACATAGCTCAGGCAGCCCTTCCTACACGGTGGGGTAAACAGCAGTGTGTGTGCGAGTGTCAGGTTTTCACATAAATAACATGCGTGTTATACGTTTCTGCCGGCTGTGCAACACACACCCCCACATGGTATTTTCATAAGCATTTCATACCAGTTTCCACATTATATGTGTGGGCGTATTATTTGCATGAGTGTGTTGTTTGTGGGAAAAAATATGGGCCTGTTACAAGATCCCGGTGAAAAGGCCAAAGCATAGACATGGCAAAGAGAGCATGCCGCTGTGACAGACAGCAAGAACCGCTCTGAGACTTGCCTCGCAGCCCAGCAGGAAGGCCGGCCCCTCAAGGGAGCCATTTTCCTTTCATACCAAGCCCCTGGCTCATGGTGTTTTGGCTGTGACAGGTTTTAGCAGGGACAGGTGCAGTGCGCTCCCAGCAACTGCGGGTACCAATCAGTCAGGATGGGGACAGCACACAGCAATCAAGAGAACCCCTGGATTGCGGGCTCAGCCTCCAGTCTGGCTCACTCCGCGACTCTTAAAACCGAAACCAAACTTGTTGCCATTGTATCAATTCCAACTCACAGTGACACTGTAGGACAGAGTGGAACTGCCCCAGAGGGTTTCCGAGGCTGTAAATCTGTACAGAAGCGGACCTGCTCCCACAGAACAGCTGGTGGGTTTGAACTGCTGACCTTTAGAATAGCAGCTGACTGTTTAACCACCGTGCTACCAGGGCTCCACATTAGTCCTCAAAACTCAACCAAACTCACTGCCGCCGAGTCGATTCAACGCATAGTGACCCCTCCTTGAGTTTCCGAGGTGGTACCTCTACGGAAGTAGATTGCCCAGTCCTCCTGAGGAGTGGCTGGTGGGTTTGAACTGCCAACCTTCTGGTTAGCAGTCAAATGCTTTAGGTACTACATCACCAGAGCTCCACATTAGTCCTAGTACCTATAAAATTAGCATGTATTCACTGAACAAGAGCCCTTTAGCCAACAGAGAAGCCTGAGCCACAACTGACGGGGTGAACACCAGCTCCTGGTTCCATTGTGCTCTTCTGAATCCAGGTGAGGTATGTAAGTGTCCAGGAAGATCTAGCGGGGCACATGGCCATGAGAGCAGCGGCACGGGGCTATGGCCGTGGCAGCAAGGTAGGCTACTGCCTGCCCCTGGGTGCATGGTCAAGGTGGGGAGTCAGGTGTGCCAGGACTCACGCTGTCTTCTGCCCAGCACTATCTCCCTGGAAGCCGACTGTGGTAGTTAAGGTTGGTGTCAACTTGGCTGGGCCTGGTTGAATAGCTGGGCAGCTGGATGTAGTTATTCCCCATGATGAGACTGGTAATCAACTCCACGGTGGAATCTACAGTGAGCAGCTAAGGAGCTGCCTTAGGGATGTGGTCTGCTTCCCGTATATAAGGAGAAGCTTTAGGACTGGTCTCCAGCCTTTTGGCATGCTTGAACTATGCATGTAGCCAAGTCGTTGTTTAACAGCCTGCCGTGCCCTGCCGATCTTGGGACTTCTTCTGGAGTTGAATTAGTGGCCTGCCATGTTGTTTGGTAACATTGAAACTGTGCCTTTTCACTTGCCGACCTTGGGTTTGTCAGCCTCAGCAGCCAGCAGCTGCCTGAGTGAAGAGATGCCTCTAGCTTCAGTGGGCCGGGTGCAGAAGGCAGAGCTGAAGCCCAAGGTTGAGGGGCTTTCACCCAGCCCCACTCCTGTTTGTTCAAGCCATCCCATTTTTGGTAGATTTCTGTTAGAGCAGCTCAGAGGTACTCAAACACTGACCCAGGCTATCCTACAGAGCCCCAGGCAGAGATGCCAGTACCCACCCACTACCAAGTGACTGTGAGCTATTCTCAGTTTGAGACGTGCCTGTGGCCTTGTCGGAATCCAGTGACAACACTGGCCAGGCCATCAAGCCCCCACCTGTCTGGCTATCTGTCCATGCACTGCCCACCAAGAGAGGCAGCCATGAGCACACAGCAGTGGTTCTGTTTCCACTGGAACCCTGCCCCCTCCTGCCCTGACTCCCTGCCCCGCTGCTGCTCAGCAAACACTGGCAGAAGAGATGGGAGCACCCAGAGGATCCCAGCACTCCCGCTGATGCCCTGGAATGCACTCAGGAGAGAAATACCCAGGCTGAGGAGTGACGCCCGCCATGGGCACAGACCCTGCAGAGGCCTCCTGCACTCTGCTGGCCCACTCTTTCACCTGCAAGGTTGATTCTGACATCTTAGGAGGAAACAGGCAGGGATTAGGCAGACCCCTGTGTGGCAGGTGAAGCCTCTCTCTCTGCACTGGGCTGTACCGCAGAGGCATCCACTCACTGCCCCATCTTTCTCCTCTACCCTGGTGATGCCCAGAGGACTGAGTCTAAGCTCCTTAGCATGGCAAACAATGCTTTCATGGGGAAACAGGTTACTTAACCCTCCTTAGCCTCAGTTTTCCCATCTGTAAAATAGGAATAATCTGTCTCATCGGGTTTGAGACTGCAATGAGATCCCACACAAGCTGAACAGAGTTCCTGGCACATAACAGGGCCTCAATAACCATGAGTGATTATCTGCAGTATGATTTTCCCTTTTGTCCCTTCCAGCCTCACATAACCATCTTCCCTACCCCAGGCAAAATGTCAACATTTAGTTAGTTTCCAAAGGTACCATGTTCTCTCCCCTCTGGACTGTGACACATTAGCTTTCTTTCAGCTTGAAATGCTCCCCCTCCCTGCCAGCTCCCACACCCTGCTTAACATCTTCCTTAAGGACGCAGGTGAGATGGCACCTTTTCTCTACTGGAGGTTGGATTAGGTGTTTCCATGTCACCTAATGCTGACTTGTACCACAGCACCTCTTGCTCTGTGATTGGCTACACATGTATCTGTATCCTTTATAAGACTTCAAGGCCTTGAAGAGCCAGAACTGCAGCTTATTCAGCATTCTCTCTCCAGTGTCTAGGAAAGTGCTTTACACACAGATGGGGCTCCACTTGTCCTGTTTCTGCTGGAATGTGTCAGTCCCGTCTCCCATTGCTTCAAAGCTGCCTGGGCATATCCCCAAGAAGCCAGGGATTCCTACTGCTGCCCTCCTGCCCACAACCTGGGGAAATGTACAAACACAGCCGTCTGCACCTTCCTGAACAGTTCCCCCGCATCCCACCCCACAGCCCGCCCCCAGCTCTTTAACAGGTAGCTGCATTCCCTGAGAACAAAGACAAGGCAGAAGGGTGCTCAGCTTGACCGCCATGGCCCCGCATCCTGGAGCCCGTGGAGCCCAGTGGAGAGGGGCGCCCAGCCGCTCCCCTGGTGGGTGCGGTGGAGGGGGGTGCCCAGCCGCTCCCCTGGTGGATGTGGTGGGGGGGGTGGTGGAGGGGGGCGCCTAGCCGCTCCCCTGGTAGATGTGGTGGGGGGGGCGCCCAGCCACTCCCCTGGTGCATGTGGTGGAGGAAGCCGCTCACCTGGTAGATGTGGTTGAGTTTGAAGTGCTTCAGGAGGAGCAGGAGCAAGGCAGAGATACTTTTGACAATGATCTCTTTGTGCCTGTTCACATCAATGCCCAGCTTCATGCTCTGCAGAACAGTGACGCTGCAGCAGGGAGAGGAGGACGGTCACAGCACAAGGTGGCTTTGAGGAGACCGACCAGGACCCACGCATTTGGGTGAGCCACAGTATTCCCTGTGCCAGGGAAATCTCCAGGGTTCTCCCCAATGAGCCAATCTAGAGAACCAGAATCAACCAGCTACCATCAAACTGACTGGCTCATGGAGACCCTGTGTGTTTCAGACTACAACCGCTCCACAGGGTTGCCAATGGCTATGACCTTTCAGAAGCAGAGTGCCAGGTCTTTCTTCCGAGGTGCCTTTGGGAGGATCTGAACTGCCAACCTTTCAATGAGTAGCTGAGAACTTAATCATTTGTGCCACTCAGGGACTCCCTGACTGGAGTCATCCCTGTCCTCTCATCCTGTTTTTGTCACTCTCCTTTGGTAAGCTTGTCCTTCGGCCCTGTCCACTCCCACACCTGCAGGCTGTCATTAGCATCGACCTCACCCTCTAGACCCCCAGCTACAAAGAGCACAGCTGAGAGCCCTGCAGTGGAGAGGGGCTAGAGCAGGGGAGGGGTTCTCTTTGGAGACAATCCCTGTGAGTGTTAACAAGGTGGAAACTAGAGGTCCTGCAGAGAGGCCACCCAGCCCCCAGCAGCAGCTAAAGCACTCACGGCATCTCCTCGGGCAGGACGTCTGCCAGAATATTGATTGAGTCTGTCTTCGCCTTGGAGGTGGGGGCTGCAGCCAGCAGAATCTTAAGTAGGGCAATCTGGGAAGCAGAAAATGAGGAGCCCCAGCTGTCCATCCTGCTCAGCAAGGCTCTCCCGCCACACCCCAAGTGCTTCCAAGCCCTTCTCGAGGACCTGGCCTCCCCAGCCTCCAGACAGACAAGGAGTCCAGTCCTGAGAGGCCCACTGTGAGCTACGGAGGAAGTCCTGCAAGACTTTTCCTTCCAGAGGAAGGAGCAGAGTGAGAGACGACATCTAGAAATAAGGTGCGAGCTACAAGGCAGGTCCCCACAGCCCAACTTCTCCACCCTCGTTCTTCCTCTAACCCTGTCGGTCAGCACCCTCACTGTGTCCAGCCTGAGACTACCTAGGACATGACACACCTTGGCAGACCTCAGAGGGACTAGGGTACTTACCTATGGGAAGAGCCCCCAATTTACCCTGAGTGGACCCCACCTTATTCCCCATCCCTCCCAAAGAACCACCTGGGAGGAGTCCTGAGGAGAGCTCCGAGAACTCCAACTGCCAGGAAATGAGCTGAAATGACAGCTCAGCTGGGGGTGGCCCGGTCTCTCCTCACGCCGTCTCCTTACCATGTACTGGGGGAGGCTGTACAGCATGCCCTGGTAGAGGATTTCACACGGGGTCTCTGGGACCACCTCTTCCCCCTAAGGCAGAAGACACAGTGTGACCAGGCCATTTTCTGGGGGACCAGAGGCTAGGATGTTCGGCTGGCTGTGAGGGGTGGCATGAGAAGGGCACTGAGCTGAGTGTCAGATCTAGGTTCCTGCCCTAGCTGTGTTAATAACTTGCTGTGTGGCCTTGGCTAAGTCACCTCCCCTCTCTGAGTCCTAGTTTCCTCTTCACTAGGATTAGGGGGCTGGTCTAGATGACCTCTGAGGGCTCTTTCAGCCCTGACAATCTATATTTTGGTTTTCTCATTATCTGGAATCAATCCAGAATGTGACTCCCACCCAGGAGTCAGCTCAGACCACTGCTTTGCAGGCCACACACACAGGAGGACCACCCTGGGTACACCTGGGCTCAACTTCAGCTATCGGTGTGCCTGGCTGCTGGGACAGATGCCCACAGTGTTAATCTGAGGCCACCAGAGAGCTCTGGAATGCTCCGAAAGCCAGGAAGGAGAGGTAGGCAGCTCAATAAAGAGGCACAGTAGAGACCCGGGGAACTTACGGCCTCGGAGGCAGGGAGGATCAGCAGGGAAGCCCAGGGGGAAGCTATTTTCCTGCCCTCCCATTAGTCTTCCTCCTCCTCCCTGATCAGCCTCCTCAGGTACCACCATATTTGTCCTTTTGATGACCCCAGCTCAGCCTGTTACCCCAGTGGGAGGCAAGGGTTCAGGTACTCGGGCCACTGTCATCCTTGGCCATTGCTGTTCCTCCTCTCCAGAACTCTATTATAGGCGGGGGTCACTGTCAGGAGACTCTGAGGCAGGGAGGAGTAGCCAGGCCCCACCATCTGACCCACAGCTCAGGTACTGTGAAATAAACACAAGCCTCACATGGGCATCAACAGAGCCTGGCAATCCTGTCCTGTCTGCCTTCCTACTGTCCAAAATGCTGGCTTCACACACTCTTACCTCTTCTCAAACCTATACTTCCTGCTGCCCCCACCCCTCAGCACTGCTGCTGACCCTGCTTCGTACTTCATAGAGAAAAGAGAGCACACCTTTGTCTTCTCAACATCAGATCTTCCAGAGGTTCCGTCTTCCTTGACCTGTGCTTCTGTCCGAGGCCAGCCCTGCTCCTACTCGGGACCCCATGCCCTTTCACTTGGTCATGAACATCGTCCTGTGGTTATCCCTCCTGGATCGTCTAGGACATATGCGTACTCCAGCATCTCAGCTGTGACACACCCGCCCTTGACCTGCCATCCTGCTCCAGCCTCCGTTCATTTCTTGCTCCTCTTCATGACCCAACCTCTGGTATCTGCACTGCCTCTTCCCAACTTTCGGAATTCTTTTCTCAGCACGCTCCAATCAGCCTTCCAGCCTGCCTCTTCCCTTGAGGTTGTGCTTATCAAGGGCACCGGTTGTCACTGTCAAATCCAGTGCTTCATCTATCAGCACCATTTGACACAGCTGGCCACTCCCTTCTTGAAACACCTTTTCTTCACTGACAGACATAACCATCTCCTGGTTATTTCAGCCTCACTGAGAGCTTCCTCTTCCTCTTCTTTTCTGGTTTCTTCCCTGACTCATTCCACTCTCAGTATTATTGGTGTGTCCCTGGGCTTTGTCCTGGGTCCCACCCTCTTCTGTATCTCTCTTTCTCCTTGGGTAATCAGTCTTAGCCAGTTCTATGGCTCCTGACGCTATGTATGAGTGGACAACTCCCAGGTTTACTTCTGCAGACAGCCCTCTCCCTAGAGCTCTATACCCATGCGTCAAGTCCCTTGGCCTCTCCACACGGATGATTTACAGGCAGCTGAAGTTAATTGCTGGTGCTGTAGAGTGGATTCTGACTCATGGTGACCCCCTGTGGGCAGAGTAGAACTGAGCCCCACACCGTTTTCAAGGCCATGAGCTTTCGGAAGGAGATTGCCAGGCCTGCCTTTCAAGGCATTTCTGTGTGGGTTTGAACTGCCAACCTTTTGGTTGGTAGTCAAGTAAGTGTTTAACTGTCTGAGCCACCCAGGCTCCATCTAAAGCTTAGCTGGCCAAAAACAGAACTGTTGATATTCCTCCCCATCTTGGTAAATGTTATTTATTCTTGATTCCTCTCATTGCTTTTCTATCAATATCCAGTCAAACTGCAAGTCCTATCAGCTACACCTCCAAAACATATCCCAAATTCATTGATTTTTCTCTCTCTCTCCACAATGACTTTGCTGGTCTAGGGCACCAGATCTCTCACCAGAACTATTTTCATAGCTTCCTAACTGATCTCCTGGCTCCCATTCCTTCCTGGTCCAAGCTGCACATGGCAATGAGTGGTTTTTAAAAACATGAACAGGTGCTGTCATTTAAAACCTGCCTAAAACGCTCAAAAGGCCTCCCTTTGTACAAGCTCCCGGTCTTCACTTGCCCAGTCTGATATATACTTGCCTCAGGCCACCTCCCTCACCCTCTCACCTGCCCCCATCCTACTCCCCTGGTTCGCTCGCGGCCTCTAACACTCTGAGCCTGCTCTCACCTCCAGGCTATCCCCTCTGCTTGGAATGCACTTCCCTTCCTTGTCCCTATGGCTGTGTCTTGTACTGCAGATCTCGGCTTAAATGTCACCTTCTCAGGGGTCTACCATTCCCTGGAGAAGGTTGTCATGCTTGGTAAGGTGCAGGTCGATAAAAGAGGGGAAGGCCCTCAACGAGAGGGATTGACACAGTGACAGTGGCGATGGACTCAAGTATAGCAAGAATCATGGAGCTGGCTCAGGACTGGGTGGTGTTTGCCCTGCTGTGCATAGGGTCGCTATGAGTTGGAGACGACTCGATGGCACCTAACAACAACAGGGGTCTACTCTCACTCCTCAGTGTAAAGTGGTCTGCTGGGGCCTCTGCCATACTCCCCATCTGAATTTTCTCCATTGTGTTATCAGTCTGATAGTCCTGTTTGCTTAACCATCTGTTTGTGACCCCTCTTCCTCAGCTTCAGTCTATTCTGAAGGCAGACCTTGTCTTCCTGACACACGGTAAGGGCCCATAACCACATGGGCACAGCCACACATGCTGCGTCACAGTGCTGCAGGCAGACTTCCTTCTGTCCTGCAGGAAGCCCTCGGCTTACCAAAGACATGGGGCACTTCTCCAGCTCCTCCTCGTTCTTGATCTGGACGTCGGCAATGGAGATGTACTTGTGCTGGGGAAGATGAGAAGATATCAACACAGAGCTGAGGGCGCCAAGGACCTGCCTCAGTCACACACATACAAGCCTCTTCTCAACTTCCCCAGTGACAAGGAAATGTTCTGGTCATAAGTCTGTCACCCCAAATAGGCCACGAGCTCTTTGAAAGCAGGAGTCTTATTCACCTCTACATCATTAGCAAAGTACTTCATACACTGTAAATGTTTGTAAATGCCACAGTTCCATATTTGTTGAAGAGCAGCAAATACCCAAGCATTTGTGGTAGGGGAAGGTGCGAGGGCAGGTCCTGACCTGGGCCGCTGCCCTGAGGGTTTTGCTGTGTGTGTGTGAGCCAGGGCGTTTATGTGGGTATGGAGCAACAGTGACGGGGAAGGGTTCAAGTTCTGGGCAAGAGATCCCTACCCTTACTCTCTGTGAGAAGTAGAGCAGGGCTCTCTCAATTCTGTACCGGAAGTGAGGAGTGGGAAGAGAGAGAAGGAAGAAGGAAAGAAAAGGAACGAGATGAGGAAAGAACCTTTCATTTGGCTGAATGTAGACACTGGGGCAAGTAGGGAGAGACTGTTTTTTCTCTTTGGCCTTAAGGCCCACAGGGGAAATGCAGAGGGTCACAAGGCGTCTGGTAGAAGAGCCCCACACCCAGGCACCACTGGAGAAGTGCCCCATGTCTTTGAACCACTGCCCTCTGATGGCTCCTGATGCCTGAAGACTGAGAACCCACCCTCATCACCTGCTTTAGGGTTTTCACACTCTCATGGATGGGCCTAGGTAATCCAACCAAGGTGTCTGTGTCCCTGTGAAAGGCCAGAAGAAGGAGAGGACACATCAGTTCATATGCTTCCAAAGTACAGAGAACTCCCCGCACCCCCTGGAGGCACATGGACCGTGCCACTTTCAGCATCTGCCCTCTGGTACCCTGACCCTCCTCTGCAAGCTCTGGGCCCCCAAGCCTGCTTCAGGACACAAAGAGAACCGTGTCTGTGTACCGTTGTTTACACAGACACATCCCTGGAAATCAGGAGACATGGCTAGTCTGCTGGAGCCTTACTGGGTCTGGGAGGGCTGAGTCCCTCTTAGAAGGACAGTGAATCCCCAGGATGCCATCTCAGGTTTCACAGAGGCCAGTGGGAAGGAATCAGGAGGGCGGGAAAAGGGGAAGCCTGGATCTGTCCTGACCACAGATCTCGCTTCTTCCCAGAACTGTAGCCCATTAGAGCAGGAAGGGGTCTTGGGGACTATGGGATCCAACACCCTCCTGAGGAAACTGAGGCCCAGAAGGGGGCTGAGTTGTTGCTCAAGGTTATAGAGCTGGTCGAGAACACACAAGTTCATCCAGCTAAGTGGAAAGAACCCAAGGAGAAAGTCTCCTGGAAAGAAGCCACAGTAGGTCACTGGGAGTGCCCACTGCCTGGCGGCTCCCAGGTTCATCCTGACTACCAGGCAGCACCTCCTATTCCTAGCCACCCACTCTGCTAGCCCCCAGCAGCCACTTACTGCCCCAGAGTGAAGCCGATGAACTTGTTCCTGCTCATCTCCAGGAAGTGCTCAATGTCCTTCTGCCTGAGAGAACAGAGGAGACAAAGCCCAGAGAAGGGAAGAAAAGCAAACTTGAGAGAGAAAACTTTTCTGGGTGCCTACCTGCCCATCAGAGGACTGGAGCAGGAAGACAGCAGCCAACAGGGGGAACTGCAAACCCAGGAGTTCTGGCGCCCAGCCTGGCTTACGGAGCCTCGAAGAACATAGAGGATCCCACCCTGCATGTTTAGTGAGTGAAACCCCAAAGCTGAGGGTCCCTGATGCTGTCAGACCTACCTGACCTTTGGGGCCCAGGGTAAGCCCTTGGGAAAGGCCACCCGCTCGGCAGAGAGGGGTGCCTGGGAGGGTGGTGGCGGCACCAGAGGGTCCTGCTCTAAAAGGTCTAGCTCCCCATCCAGGGCTCGTTCTCCGTCACCAGCAGACTCCTCTTCCTCCTCTGGGGCTGGGTCCTCAGTCTTAAAGAGATCCCGCTCATTGTAGATGTCCAGGCTGTCCTGCTTGGTAAGGAGTTGCTGGGGGAGGAGAGACCTGACCTTGGGCTGCAGCTTGAGGCTACTCCCACCCTACAGGCTCCCAGAGTTCAGGGAACGTGAAGCAAGAACCCCACTCTGATAAGAACATCCCCTTTCCCACCTCAACCCTACTGCCCCCACTAGGCCCAATGCCAGATCAAGCAGGCCTCAGGCAGCCAGGCCAAGGGCCAGGGAAGAGGGCGCAGATAACCCCATAGGCAGAGCTAGTGAGCTTTCAGCAAGCAGGAGGCCTTTTTTCCCCACCACTTTCCTAATCATTCTCTGCTTAGGTGAACACTCAATTCGTTTGCTTTCTGTGAGCATATACCAGCTGGCTGCCTGAGGAAGAGGAGGACAGAAGCTTGCTGCCGGGCAGAGGGAAGCGGGCTTGGAATTTTAAATCTTGTCACACAAAGAAAAAAAGGATCGGACAGAAATAGGCCAAAAAGTTAACAGTGACTGCCTCTGGTTGTGAAGATTGTGGGTGATTTTTTTCCCCCTCTTCTTCACATTTTTATATTTGTTCCACATTTTCTACAATGAGTAAGCATTGCTTTATAGAACAAAAAATAAAGGTTAAAAAAAAAAAATCACGTGGCACACAGATAATGTGCACCAGTTTCCCGAGAGTGACTGTTTGGCCCTGTCACCTGTGGTTGGTGGATTCAAGTAGGTTGGGCAGGTGAGTTCTTGGAAGATGTCAAGCCTCAGTGAGACTTGTCCTCTTGACCTTCCCAGGGTTACAGACCACACCTCGGACCCTAACCTCATCTGGCAAATGTAAGCCTTTGGTCCCTGGGCCAGACGAGGGCGTGGCTGGCTTAGCGCTAACCTGCTTGCTGCTGAAACAAAGGCAAAGCAGCCTCATGTGGATGAGCTGGGGGTCCCCAAACCTTGGATTATACCCTAAGCTGTTGTTCAGGATGCTAGGGAACTTCCAACTTAGAACTGAGGCCCAGGCCAATGATAACTGTAGCCCATGTAGCAAGACGCTGATCTACGATGCAACATCACAATGTCACCTCATGACAACCTAGCAGCCGGCTATCTGGTCTGGCGGACAGAGGCCAGTGCATAGCCTCCAAGGTTGCAGGTTGGTCACAGGGCCGACAAGGGGCAGGATGTGCCTGGTCATTTACTGCCTTTTCCCACTACACTCATAGTAGATTAGAAGCTTGATTTTTGGCCAGCCCATGCCACACCACCACTGTGTGCTTTCATCCATACCCTCCGAGAGCCACGTCGGCCACGCGGCTTGGAAGGTGGAGGCGCCAGCTGAGACTCGCCCAGGTCGAGGGTGTAGGAGGGTGGGGAGGCGGCACGCATGCTCCGTACCACCTGGATGCTGTCCTCAGCCAGGGGAGGCAGGCCCAGCTCTGCCCGCTTCTGTATTTTGAGAACCTGGAGATGCTCAAATCCACCGAGAGTAAACTGCGGGGCAGACAGGACGGGGGTGGGGGAAGAGAAAGAGGAAGGGAGCAGTCAGAGAGGGCACCGTCAGGGTGACAAGGATAGAGAAAGGGTGAGAGAGCTTCAATTCCAGTCCCCTCGGTCCTCCTCAACAGGAAGGAGCACTGTGGTTGCCACCCAGTCTGAGGAGCTCAGGGTAAAGCACCTTCTGCTGACCCGGGGCTGGAAACATCACCAAGAATCAGGAGAGTGACCCCTGATGTCTCCACTGAAAACACAGGAAACGGTCCCCTCAGAGGGAGCACACCCAGAGGTCACTCAACTTCCTCTGCAGCCAAGCGGCAGCTCCGCTGCGAGGCCTGCCCTGGAGGTGGGCTGCTCAGCCAGCCCTGGGCGGCAGCAGCCAGAGACAACGATGAACTAGTAACAAAACTGCAACCACACTCTTCCAGAGACTTCATTTTTGAAAAAGCAAATACTATATTTATCTGGATGGGGGGCAGGCACTAACTCTTTCATTTTACAGCCAGAGAAACTGAGACACAGAGCGGTCCAAAGTCCCTCAGTATCAGCAGAGCTCAGAGCTCCCAACTTGCAACCTACGATATATCACTCTATCAAAGGAAGGAGCTGGACACCGCAACTCATACAGCAACAGCTCCCCTCAGTCCAACGCAAAACAGGTCACCTGCTGACACAGGACCTGATTCTCTAGGACAGCCGGGCTGCCCCACTCTGTGGCTGAGCCCCAGCATTCCAGAATGCGGCCAGAGGGAACCATGGTGGCAGAGAGCAGGGCCGAGGATCAGCCACTCACCATGACCACCTTCCACAGCAGAAGCAGGACCTTCTTGATGGGGAAGTGGGGGGCCAGGCCGCTGCAGAATTTGGTAACCATGGAGAAGAGCAGGAGGGCAAATGGCTCCTCGTTATGCACGGAGAAGCCTGGGGGTGTGGAGAGAGGCAGGGGAGAGTGTGAAGAGGAGAGAACTGCCCCACTGCCCTGGCACATGGAGAAAGGCATTCACCACCCAGAATTCCAGGTACCTGGTCCCAAGAAGAAGGCCTAAAGAGCCCCCAGAGGGAAGCCCCAAGGGCTGGGAGGGAGGCTATGAAACTGCTTAGCCCCCGAAGCTCAGGGTGATGCTAGAGGTGGATGCCAAACTAGAAGTAACAACCACAGAGATGCATTCCGGCCACAGATTGGTGCAGTTCATGGGTCACACCTCACCTGTCCACGCCAATGACAGTATTTTAGAATTCCACAGGCCGTCAGAGCCTATCCCTGGCTGATAACCATAAGAACTTACATTTAAACAGAGCTCAGTCTTCGAGATGATTCAAGTCAGTTTTTCATGTGGGATTCATGATGCATGGGAAAGGTATGACTACCCCTATTTATAACCAAGGAAACCAAGGTACAGAGAAGTTACAGGACCGGTCCCAGCCCACAGACACGGGGGCGGTCAGGCCTGGCCATCATGCCTGCCACACAGCCTTCCCCGCCCCACTCAGAAAAAGGACATGAATTCTGACAGCAGCAGCAAAAAAGAAGGAAAAGGGGTGTGTCTCTCTCCTGGGCAATGCCACACTCCCCTCCTAATCAGCTCACCATCTCACCCCTCCCAAGCACCATACATCTTACTCAATTCAGCACGGAAGGTCTCCCGGGCCGTCCTCCACCCACAGGAGTCGGTTTCTCGCTCCAAGCGGATGTTTTCCACCATCAGGTACATGACACTCAGCAGCACCCTGGGGTCAAGAAGGGCCCAAGAGGTTCGCCAACAGCTCCTAGTCTGCAGTCAGGGCAGGGGGGCTCTCTCATTCCCCTCAGGGACGGTCTCTGGGGGAGCCCAACCCAGTCAGATTAGCCAGGGGGCATCTGGATTTGGGGGAAGGCTAAGTTTCCCGACCCAGTCCCAAGTGCAGCCCTCTCACCGCAGCTCTGTGCTGTCGGCAATGGAGATGGCTGGCTTCCGGAGGGCGCTGCTGCAGGCCTGGCTGTTGCTGCCGTGGGGAGGACGGAGAGACAGGAAACACCCATTGGGCCTCTTCCCTTCTTGTCCTCCCACTGATGAGCCACACAAGTGCGAGTACCTGCCATTCCCTGGCTATCAGCCACTAAAGAAAGGGGCTGCCAAGAGGGGACATACAATTCCTTCTGCCCCCTCAGCAAGCCCCTATGTGTAGTGAAGACAGCCAAGAGCAGGGTCAATGGTGTCCACTCCTAGACACAGAATAGATGCATAATGAACATGTGTCACCCTACCCAAAACTCCTGGTGGCAGGCATGAGAGACTAAGCGAGGGGCTGCTATTATGGTGGCAGCAGATAAAGCCACCACAAGGGAAAGAACTGGCTCAACTCTTAGAAGTGGCCCTGCCCCGCTGGGGCCATATTCTCAGGTAGAACAGTTTCCTTCACGGACTCTAGGCCTAGGCTGGGCTGAGAAGGTGCTTAGATAAAAAGGGAGCCCACCCAAGAGAGGTCCCTAAAGCCCAAGATGGAAACCATAAGTGGGAGCAAGGAGGGAGGACAGAATGTCAGAGACCATGGCTGGATGGAGGGGACTGGCAGTGAGCCCTGGGCTGAGATGCGAGAAGACCCAGAGTGAGAGAACCAGCACAGGAGCCAAGGCCTCGTCAAGGAAGGCTGCTCACTCAATTTCCATGTGGAGTAGCTCCAGGAAGGCCGAGAAGGTCCCCATCTGATAAAGCAGGAAGCAGTTGTACCTGGACCAGTGTAGCACATCAACTTCTGAATCACATTCCCCAAAAGCACCTAAAGGACCAGACAGTTCCAAAGGGGTGAGAGGTCTTACCACTCCACCCCGTGATCTTAGATGATCCTACAGCACCCTGTCCAACAGTTAGGACCAGACAGTTCCAAAAGGGTTGAGGGGCTGTCCTAGGTCTTTCCACTCTGCCCCGTGGTCTTAGACAATCCTGCAGGACCCTGTCCAACAGTTAGGCTGTCAAAAGGGGCACTAAGGCCCTTCAGAACTTCCTGGAGTGAGGCAGAGGAGAGGAGAGGAGAGGAGAGGCCGTCTCCAGGGTTATGGCCAGAGCACCCAGTGGCCTGTCTTAAGTTTCAGTTCCCCCAGAGTCAGATCCTGAGGGACTCAAATGCAAGCAGCTTATCAGGGAGCTGATGCCAGGAACCAGCAGTAGAGAAGTGGGGAAGTGAGAGAGGTAAGAGAAGCAGCCCAACGAGCTCAGTCCGGGGGGGAGCCCTGGGACACCGAAGCCTGCAGCCAGCATTCTCGTAGCCAATGAGGGCGAGGCGGCTGGACTGTCCGTCCAACAGCTCCTACCAGACACTGGCTGAGGGCAGCTGGGCTCGGGGACAGTGTTAAGTCCCCAGTGCCTCCTGGCTGCCCTGCGTGTTCTTCAGAGAAAGCCCTCACGGTCAGAGATAAGGTTCTGGCAGTTGGAAGTTGGCCAGAGCACTGCCCTGTTGGCCCCAGGATCTTCCCCTCTCAGTGTCCACTCACTCTTTTAAAATTTTTTAGCTTCCACCTGCCTGGTTCCGCGCACAATCCTCATGCTTACAATCTCAGGGCTTCTCTTCACCACTCCAGCCAGGAGACCTCATTTCCCTTTCCAACACCTGCTAACACGTTGCTTCTGGGAGGCTTTAGCTAATTCATCTCATTTAGTTCTGGTCCCCTCCAAATTACCCACAGCATCTACTCCCCTGTGCGGCATTGGCTTGAACCCTCTAAACATCAATGAGAAACAAGCAGAGGGCCCATGTGTGAGCCTGTATCAGGCCTGCCTCCCCTCTAGGCCACAGCTGACAAGAGAAGCCGCCATGCTCAGCTGGTTGTGCATCATCAGCGGGGGCCACACTGACCCACTTGCTGTTGTTGTTGTTGTTGTTATGTGCCGGCAAGTCAGACCTGACTCAAGTCAGTATCACTAGAGAAGAGATTGCCCAGCCTTCCTTCCAAGGAGTGGCTGGTGGGTTTGAACCGCCAGCCTCCTGATTAGCAGTCAAGTGCCTTAGGCATTACACTATCAGAGCTCCTGACCCACTTGCTAGTCTCCACAAATGATCACAGTCCAGGATGGGGAAAAAAGGACTAAGGTGACCTGGTGCCTGTTAAGATAAAGGCAGATTCCCAGGGATCCAGAACATCTTATCATTCTCATAAGCACATGACAGGACCTGTCCTTGACAGGTAGGTGACCTTGCCTTCCCAGCATGGTCTGCCTCCTCCCAGCCCTGATAACACCACTCCTCAGGCTGGCAGGGGTGGTCACTCACCCTGGGCCAGGTAGAGAACAGCCCGGGCCACCTTCAGCCGCCGCTCCCTACTGACCACCTCCAGCCGGTCCAGGAGTCCCATCACATAGGCCTTTTGGGCATCTTCCTCCAGTTCCAGCCACTCGTTGCCCTGCACTGGGGACAGAAGGCCAGAACCATTCAACATAAGTTGCTGCCACCCTTTCCCAGAGAAGCTCCTGATAGCACACCCACCTCAGATCTCAGCTCCCAACAAATTCTTCTTTCTCCCCAAATGCTTCCCTACCTGGCTGAGCAAGAGTAAGGGATGGGACAAGAACTCACAATGTTTGGCCTGCACCCCTTCCGTAGCCTCACCTTCAGCAGCCCATCCTCTACACACAGCCTGTGCTGGAGTCTCTGCCTCTCCTACAGTGCTCTAGTCAATTCCCTACACACCCAATTCCATCCATCCTACAGGTCCAAGACTAAAGCTACCTCTTTCCCACTTGTGCCCCAGCCAGAGGCTGTCTCATGGGATACTGTTTCACTTCCTACTGGCACGTCCCTTTTTCCTCTTGGCCTTGGCTTGGTTTGTGATGGACACATCTCCCCCTCTCCTACCAGACTCTAAGCTCTTTGAAGATGCTGCAAATTTACTCCCAGCCCTGCCTCTCTGGTACAGACTGGGTGCTCACTATACGTTTGTAGAACTGTGGATTGAAATGCCACTGGCGGTCAGAGTGTCACGGTGTGGGGACATGAAATTGCTAGCAGATGCGGTTGGGAGTGGGGCACAGCTGGGACAGGGATTGAACACTAAAGTCAAGGGCTGGGCTCGGCAGGTAGCCCAGGCAGCCCCGCTGCACCAGCCCTCGCTTCCTGTGCTTTGAAGCCGGGAAGGGGGCCCAGCGCAAGCTTCTCTTCCTTCCACCTCATGGTGCCTCCACTTGAGATTAGAGAACCCTGCATCCCACGGACAAGAAGGGAAGGGGATGTGGTTTGGGTCAGCATTTTTCTGGGTCAGGCTCAGATACCATGAAGGGAGAAAGGAGGCCTCTGTGAATAAGGTTCTGGGATCACCTTGAGTCTTGAAGTCTTCTTCAAAGCACCTCCTGTTAGTGGTGAATTCCATGTTCTCAGTGTAGCTGTACAGTTCTGTGGCAGGAAAGATAGGAGACAGTCACAGACCTCTAGGGACCCTTACAGGAGGGGCCTGGAGTGGAGACGGTGGCAGGGAAGAGCTGAAGCTTCCAGCACAATCCTGTGTCCAATTCAGTCCGGAGCCAGCTTCCTCCCTTTCAGAGCAGTTAAAAATAGCCGTTGTGTCCCTGGGTGATTAAACCATCAAACCTGTCCTCCTCCTGCCAGCTGGCTGCTGCAGAAGATGAAGGCAGCCTTCAACATTTGCTGAGGGCCAGGAGAAGGGCTGGAGCCCAGGGGGCTGAATGTCATCACTTCTGTTTCTCAGGGCTGTGACCCCTCGTGCTCTGCCCACCTGGCCTGGGAACCTCCCGTCTCTAGGGAAGGCCCTCTAGGGAGGGCAATACCAGGCCTGAAGTGCAGAGGCCAGATCCCGTGCTGTTCAGGGAGTCAGAGTGGGGTCTGGTGAGTCTGTGTTACATGGCTCTTCAGGGTTGGAGCCAGTTCACTCTCTCCCTGCACGGTTTCCTCGAAGGGTGTAGAAGTTTCTGTTCCTGCCACAGTCGCCCAAGCAGAGGCAGCATCAAGCCATGTAGACAGCAGCTACGGCTGCCAAAGGGATGCCTGTACCCAGGAAAATCTAACTTCACTGGAAGCAGCCTCTTGATGCAAAATGCAGAAAGCCTATGAGAAACAAAAGTGCCCCTCCCTACCCACACACATTTTGGAACATTACACCAGCGCCCTCATCTCACAGAGGATGAAGAACTGCAGTTGAGAGGTCAACAGGTGAAAGGAAAGAATTCCTTGAGATCTCTGCTCCCCAAACAGGGACCCCAGTTAGAAAGTTAACAGGGTCCCAGAGAATTTACAAAGCAAGAGAGATTCACCCAGCCCCCAATCGGCTGTCTACTGGCTGAGATGCACCTTGCCTGGGAGACTGGGCCTTGGAGTCCTAAGCTCTAGAGGCCTGGAGTGACCAGAAGCAAAGCCTATCTCTTAATTGCAAATTCTTCAGTCTTCACTAGGGTAAGCCCCATGAACCCACTATGAAAAGCAATGGAGGCTCCCAG